AGCAGGGGGGGGGGCGGGTGGGAGATGAGGCGGGGTGGGGTGGGCAGGCGGCTTGCGGTGCAGAGGCAGGCGGTGGCGCAGTGGGGATGTGCATGCCGCAGGCGGCTGGCTGGAGGCGAGACATGGAATGGGGGCGATGGGTGAGCTGCGCGGCGGCGCGCGCCGGGCACTCACCCCGGCTGCGGCTGCGCGAGCGGCGGCGGCGGTCGCGGGAGCGCGAGCGCCGGCTGCCCCGGTCCCGGCTGCGCGAGCGGCGGCGCCGGTCCTTGTCGCGGCTGCGGGAGCGGCGGCGCCGGTCTCGGCTGCGGGAGCGAGATCTGCAAGAGGCATGTGGGGGAGGGGAGAGGGGTCAGCAAAGGGGCTCGCCCAGCGCCCCAGTCGGCGGCGGGCCAAGCCCCGCCGCTGCCAACCCTGCGGGCAGGGTGGTGCTACGCCCATCGCGGCTCCCGTTGCGGTGCATGGCCCCTTGCAGACACGTTTCGCGGAGCAGGGAAAGGAGGGGCCGCGCAGGTCTCCCCGCCATCGCATCGCATGGCACCCAGAGCTCTCCCTACGACTCCTACCTTCTGCGGCGGTCTCGTGAGCGGCTGCGCCGCCTCTCCTTGCGGTCCCGGCTGCGTGAACGCCGCCTCTCCTTGCTCTTGCTGCGCGCACGCTTGTCCAGGTCCGCCTGCTGCCCATCAGCCACCATCGGGGGCTGCTCCTCGGCCGGGGGGACCGCCCGGGCGTCGCCCTCGCTCATCCTGCCCTGGCTCCTGCGATCAGCAGTGTCTGGGCGTGAAAACGTAGCTCTAAACAAATCGCAGGCTCACAGGTTGAACACGTGCAAAGTGAGAGACGCGATGGCCCGCTGGAGGGCCCGGTAGCATGGCGGCGGCGGCGGGGTGGAAAGGCGGCGGCGGGCGGCGCAGGACGCAACCGATCTGACACCCCCATTTCAGCTCAGCTCGATTGCCAAACACCTCTTTATGCTTCGATCCCGTCACATACCTTAGCTAGTTGTTGGGGAGTTGAGGAGGCCCCCAATCCCGCCACCGACAAGGCTGCAGTAGAGCTAGAGTTGTCTCTTGGAGCAATCCCGCTTTTGTTCCTGCAGTGCTCGACATTTAGACTCGGCCCACTTTGCTGCAGCCACTTTCGATCACAGAATGCTGCGTGCATGCGCCAAGTTGATGCCTCGGGCAACGCAGGCAGCAGCTGCGGCCTCTCCCTCCTCCCACTGGACGGCAGTGGATGCTCTGGGTAGCCGCGCAACCGGCGCCTATGTTACACGGAACACCGCCTCTGCCCCGGCAGTGACGGCGGGCGGACCGACCCGCTCAGCGCCGATCGGGGGGGTCTCCAGCTCACAGCAAGAGCGGGCAGCAGTCCAGCATGCACGCAGCCCAGCCCAGCCCAGCCCAGCCTGGCCAATGCATGCGCCCCGAGCAAGCGCAGCCATGGGGCTGCCGCACGCTCCTTAAGGTGTGTGCGGGCAGCGCTTGCGGCAGCGCTCCTGCAGACACCGGCCCCGCAGGCCGCTGCATGCTGCCCTGCACTAGTCATGCCCCCCAACCATCACCCACCCCCTGCAGAGTACCCATGGGCCTGCTCCTCGCCTCCATGCCACTGTCGGCAGCCGCCTGCGCGGCTGCAGCGCCGCGGGCAGAGGCGGCAGCGCCTGCGCCCCTGCGCCTGAGCCAGGTGCAGCAGCCTGGCGGCGATGCCCGCTCGCCTCCCGATGCATGCGAGGTGCCCCCCTCGCCTCCAGCTGCAAGCAAGGATGCTCCCGCCGAGGCCGGAGCCGATGGCGGCCTCCAGCAGGCACCCCAGAAGAGAAGAAGACCCCTCCTCCTCATCATACTGTACGCCCTGGGCCTCCCTCTGCAGCTTGCCGTGGCTTCCCTGCGGCTCGCCGTGAGAGTTTTGTGGCTTGAGATGAAGGTGCCGTTTGAAGGTGCTGCTGAAAGTTATGTCGTTCGGCGTCAAGCAGTCCGTCTGGTTCGGTGTGTGTGTCCTGCTGGTCTTGACAAACCCACTCCTCGTTATCGTTATTGTCCCCATCTATCTGTACGGGGCGATCTTCCTCATCCTTGGGGATTAGGCCTGCTTTACTTCAAACGCCACACATTGTGTCATGCACCACACTTTGACGGCGCCAGCTGGCCGCGCTCGTATGATTGAACTGCTGTGTCCTGCCACAATTGTTGGTTGATTAATTATTTGACTTAAGATAACGTCATTGTGGGCTCGCCAGGGCAGCAGCCAAAGCAAGGTCCCTGCAACGGGCAAGCATTAGCGGGAGTGGCGGGGTGGAAAGGCGGCGGCGGGCGGCGCGGAGCGACACCCATCTGACCCCACTTCGGCTCCACTGCCAAACACTTCTATATAATCCGATTCCATCAAACTTCATTAGGTAGTTGACGGGGAGTTGAGGAGGCCTGGCCGAACCCCGCCGCCACGAGGCACGCACTAGGGTCTCTTGGAGCAATCCGCCTGTTGGTGGCTCCCTATAGCACTCGGGCATGTAGACTCGCCCCACGCTGCTGCCACTTTCGATCCACAGAATGCTGAGTGCGAGCGCCAAGTTGCTGCCTTGTGCAACGCAGGCAACAGCGGCCTGTCGCTCCTCCCAGTGGACAGCAGTGGATGCTCGGGGGGCCCGCACAACCGGCGCCTATGTTACATGGAGCGCCGCCTCTGCCCCGGCAGTGACGGCGGGCGGAGCACTCCGCTCAGCCAATCCATGGTTCTCCAGCTCGCGGCAAGAGCGGGCGGCAGCCACGCGCTCCTCAAGGCGAGTGCGGGCGGCGCTTGCGGCAGCGCTCCTGAAGCCAGCACCGGCCCGCAGGCCGCTGCATCCTGCCCTACACTAGTCATGCCCCCCAGCCCATCACCCAACCCCTGCAGAGTACGCATGGGCCTGCTCCTCGCCTCCATGCCACTGCCGGCAGCCGCCTGCGCGGCTGCAGCGCCGCAGGCAGAGGCAGCAGCGCCTGCACCCCTGTGCCTGAGCCAGGTGGAGCAGCCTGGCAGTGATGCCCGCTCACCTCCCGCTGCAAGCAAGGGTGCACCCGCGGAGGCGGGAGCTGATGGCAGCCACCAGCTGGCAGCCCAGAAGCAAAGAAGACCCCTCCTGCTCAGCACACTGTACGCCCTGGCCTTCATGCTGTACCTCCCTCTGCAGCTTGCCGTGGCTGTCCTGCGGCTCGGCGTGACAGCTTTGTGGCATGTGATGAAGGTGGCGCTGATGGTGGCGCTGGTGGCGCTGAAAGTTGTGTCGTTTAGCATCAAGCAGTTTGCCTGGTTAAATGTGTGTCTCCTGATGGTCTCTTTAGTCACCCAATCAGCACTATCCCCATCTGTAGAAGTCAGCATTCTCGTCTTTGTCCCCATCTATCTATGCGGGGCGCTCCTCATCAGTGGAGTTTAGGCCTGCCTGCTAGTTCAAACGCCACACATGTGTCACCACACTTTGACCGCGCCAGCTGGCCGCGCTCGTTTGATTAATCTGCTATCCTGCCAGCCATTGATTGACTTATGATAACCTCATTGTGGTCTCACCAGGGCAGCAGCCAAAGCAAGGTCCCTGCAACGCGGAAGCATCATCAAGGCGGCGGGGTGGAAAGGCGGCGGCGGGCGGCGCGGAGCGACACCCATCTGCAAGCAACAATTCAGTTTCCACTACCCCACACTCTTTATGCTTCGATTCCATCAAATCCATTAGCTAGTTGTTGGGGAGACGAGGAGGCCCCCAATCCCGCCGCCGCCGCCAGGGCAGCAGTAGGGCTAGAGTAGCAAGACGGAGCAATCCTGCTGTGCTGCCTCAGTGCTCGAGCATGTAGGCTCACCCCACTTTGCTGCAAAATTCCGATCCATAGAATGCTGCGTGCGAGCGCCAAGTTGCTGCCTCGGGCAACGCAGGCTGCAGCTGCGGCCTCTCCCTTCTCCCACTGGACGGCAGTGGATGCTCTGGGGGGCCGCGCAACAGGCGCCTATGTTACACGGAGCGCCGCCTCTGCCCCGGCAGTGACGGCGAGCGGACCGACCCGCTCAATGCCAATCGGCGGGGTCTCCAGCTCGCAGCAAGAGCGGGCGGCAGCCCAGCATGCACGCAGCCCAGCCCAGCCCACCCCGGCCTGGCCAATGCATGCGCCCCGGGCAAGCGCAGCCATGGCGGCAGCCACGCGCTCCTTAAGGCGAGTGTGGGCGGCGCTTGGGGCGGCGCTCCTGCAGCCAGCACTTGCCCGCAGGCCGCTGCATGCTGCCCTGCACTAGTCATGCCCCCCAACCATCACCCAACCCCTGCAGAGTACCCATGGGCCTGCTCCTCGCCTCCATGCCACTGTCGGCAGCCGCCTGCGCGGCGGCAGCGCCGCAGGCAGAGGCGGCAGCACCTGCGCCCCTGCGCCTGAGCCAGGTGCAGCAGACTGGCGGCGATGCCCCCTCACCTCCCGCTGCAAGCAAGGATGCTCCCGAGGACGCCGGAGCCGATGGCGGCATCCACCAGGCACCCCAGAAGAGCACGAGCACACTGTACGCCCTGGGCTCCCTACTGAACGCCCTGCTGCAGCTTGCCGTGGCTGTCCTGGGGCTGGGCGTGAGAACTGTGTGGGTTGGAATGAAGGTGGCGCTGAAAGTTGCGTCGTTCGGCGTCAAGCAGTGCGCCTGGTTTGGTGTGTGTGTCCTGCTGCTCCTGACAAGCCCACACCTCATTTTAGCTATTGTCCCCATCTATCTGGACGGGGCGATCCTCCTCACCATGGGGTTCAGGCCTGCTTTAATTCACACGCCGCGCATGTGCCATGCACCACCCTTTGACCGCCCCAGCTGGTCAAGCGCTTGTTCTCCCTACCAGCCGCGCGTGGTTTTCCTACCCGCCAAATGATAGTTTGAATTGATTACTCTTATGGTAACCGTAGCTCCATTACATGATGTGCCCGTCAGTCCTGAATAGTTTGCCCCCAATGAAAGTGAGTCAGTCAGCCGCAGCGCCCAACAACCCAACTGGCGCACAGAGTCGGGGGTGTGTGAGGGTCAGTACAGGGGGCGGAAAGGGAGCAGTGCCTGCCAGCAGGTGCCGGCCGGTCAGGATGCGCTGCTGGTGACGACGGGGACCGGCACCCGGCCGGCCGCCGTGTCTGCCATACGGAAGGTGGGCGCCTCGAAGTGGCTGCCCAGGTGCTTGGCCGCCGCCGGCGCTGGGGCTGGCGCCGCCGCTGGCTCTGCGGCCGCTGGCGCCCCTCCCGCCCCCGCCCCTGCTCCTGCTGCGCCGCCGCCCGCCTGGCTCGCTGCACCCGAGGCTCCCAGGTTGAGGCTGCCGGCAGTAGTGGCGGTGCTGGCAGCGGGCGAGGCGGATGGCGGCTGCCCCGAGGCGCCGCCGCCAAAGTGTGTGGCGTAGAAGCTGCTGCGGAAGGGCCCCCGGGTGGGCACGCTGCCGCCGCCGCCGCCCATGCTGCCGGGCAGAGACGCGGGCGAGGTGCTGGCAGGCGCGTGCCTGGCTGCCGCGCTGCCTGCCGCCGCGGCAGCACTGCCAGAGGCTCCGGGCACCAGCGGCGTGCGATAGGTGCTGGGCGCCGCCGCCGGGCGTGCGCCGGCAAGCCCGCTGCCGCCGCCCACGCCGCCGCCGCCCGCCGCTCCCATCGCCGCTCCTGCAGGCGCGGCGGCGGCGCCCGCGGTGCCGACGGCGGCGCCGCTCGGGCCGGTGGCCCCGGCGCCAGCTGGCGGCGGCCCCGGCCGGAAGCTGTACCTGCCGGCCAGCAGGCCGGCGCCCGCGCCGCCGCCGTAGTGCAGCTGCGTCTCGGTGATCTGGTTGTTCAGCCAGCGGATCATCTGCTCGTTGCTGGCGGCCGCCGCCCGGCTCTCCTCCAGCCTGCCCCGCATGTCACCCACCTCCTTCCGCAGCGCCTCTGCACCAGAGAAGGGAGGGGAAGAGGGGGGCCGGGGGGCCAGCGCCCAGCCAGACGTCACAGTGATTGTGGCCTCGCCAAGCCAGCAGCAGCAGGCAGCAGCTCCCCATGGGTGGCCAGCACCGGCAGCAAGGCCCGCAGGTGCAGCCAGTGCCGCCGCCTGCCCTCCACAGCCCAACAGGCAGCAGCATCCCGCGCCCCGCCCCACCCCACCCCTCTCCCCGCCACCTCCCCCTGCCTCCCCCTGCCCCCCAACACCCGCACCCGCATCCTCTGTCGCCCTCTCCAGCTCCCGCTGCAGCCCGCGGCAGCGCTGCCCTGCCTCATCCGCCGCCCTGTCGCGCGCCGCCAGCTCCTCCTCCTGCCGCGCCACGATGGCGGCCTTGCGCCGCACCTTGTCCCGCTGCGCCTGCAGGTCGGCCTGCGGGCGGGGGGCAGGGGGACAGGGGGGCAGGGGGGCAGGCGGTCGTTTGGTCAGCTGGGCATCCCAGGCGGGCAGCCGCAAGGGAAACGTGTGTGTTGCTGTGGCGAGGCAAACAGGTGTGCTGCTGGCGTTTGTCTCCGGGCCAGCTGCCGCCCCTCTGCCAGCCCCCCAGCCAGCCCCCAGCCAGCCCCCAGCCCCCCCGGCCAGCCAGCCCCCGCTACCACCCCGCTGGTCCCTCCC